AAGTGTAATCTTCTTTTTCTTTAGGATTCGCGGGGGAACCAAATTTTTTTCGGTATAAGCCTAGATTTTTTTATAAATTGCGGATGCGTTTCTAAATTGTTTTAACTATTCCTGAGCATAAAAACTACACACATTTTAACCAAAAAAAATTTAAAAAAATAAAAATTGGGTCGAGCAATCCTATAGAACCTTTGGGATTCGCGGGGGGGGAAAGACCCAAAATGACCAAATTTTCGACTTTTTCAAACATTTTTCTAAATTTTTCTGAAAGTGATTCTGCTTTAAATATAGTTAAAACTTACTAAAACAATTCGAAAACACTTTATATTTGATTACTAGGTCAACCGGGACCACCAGGAAAAAAAATTGGTCCCCCCGGGAATCCTAAAGAATCTTTTTGACTACTAAAACACTCGTCTTTTCTTTTTTTGGATAAAATAACTGATTTTTAGTACGATGAGGGCATCTTCAAGCAACTCCTTGACGGAGAAATTGATGAGCACCTTGCCAAGCATATTGCCCATATGTTCATCCGAGATCCGCTACAGGCAATTTGAAATTATTTTTTTACAAATATTCCTTTTTTAAGTTCCATTCTATGACCTTTAGCTAATTTTATAGGTATTCCGTGAGCGCATCGAGCAGGATGACACGAAGAGTTCCGAGCACTTCGAGACGATCCAGAGCAGCAACTGGATGAATATGCGCTTCAAGGTAGACTTGATCAATTTTCTTGCATCCCCTATTTAGCCCCCACCACCTGATGCCCCGGAAATTGGCTGGCGCGTCGAGTTTCGACCCACTGAGGTAAAATATTATTTATGTGTAAATTTCATTTTATTCAGGTCCAACTCACCGACTTTGAAAATGCGGCTTATTGCTGCTTCGTCGTGCTGCTGACTCGGTATAAATATCGGCATTCTTTGGAAGTATTTTTATTGCTAGGGTAATCCTCTCGTATCGCTCGACCTATCTGCTGCCAATTTCGATGGTCAATGAGAATATGAAGCGCGCTCAGAAGCGGGACGCTGTTTTGGAGCAGAAATTCTTCTTTAGAAAGGTATCAACCAAATAAATGGCATTAAAATCTGGTGTAGGGAGTAGCCACTTGCCGTCACCCCCCAGATGAGGCCGGAGGAGGCGATTCGGCCGCCTGCACGGTCGGCAATGCAAAGAGCGAGGATATTGAAGAAATGACGATCAACGAGATTGTCAACGGTGAGATTTCGGGGGGTTTTGGTTCTTTGGCAATATCGTGGGCGGGCTAATTTTTCTAAACAAAATTGCGGATGAAGCGTAAAAATTTTACAAATTTTAATAGAAAAGACAAAAAAAACACCGATTATTCGAACAAAATGTCGAATTTTTAAGGATTTTGGGAGTTTTTAGATGATTTTCGCCTTGAAATATTGATTCATTGGATCAAAAACATGCTAATAATTTCTATTGAATTATTATGAATTTCTGGGCTCATTTTCGCTCTCCGAAATTGTAAAACCACCTTTTTTCCAGGGCGTGAAAAAGAGTGGCCCGGCCTGGTGCCCATGTTGAAGCAGTTCCTCGACTCGGCCGATGTTGATGTTGACACGCGGTGCACTATTTCGCAATATCTGAACTTCATCTCGGTAATTTGCCAATTTTTTTCCACATCGAATTTCCTTTTCAGCAACGCGCCTCTGGGCAAATCCCCACACTGGCCAACTGGACTCGCGAATTCGTCCAGAACCACACTGCCTACAAAAAGGACAGCCGCGTGCCCGATGAGACGATCTACGATTTGCTGTCCTTGGTATGTTAAAAATGAGAAAACATATTTAAGTTGAAAATTTTGGTTCTTTCGCGTTGACGGGATTTTTTTCCTAAGGATCCAATTTTTCAATAAATAGATCAATAAACCGGAAATTTTTCTAAACTGTTTTTTTTTACTATGGCTAAGCGCAACAAATTGTCAGTTACAAAATACAAAAATGTTAGGCCAGCCAAGAATTCCGATTTTTGCTAAAAATGTCGACGCTTTAATATTTTTAACAAGTTTTCCGATGGTTTTTACTAGTTTTATATAGCTGTTTTACTAAAAATATTACAAAAATACTCCCTATTAAGTTAATAGGTATTTTTAGACTTATACTTAAAAGTAAAATGCATTAATACGAAAATATTTTTTTAGATGTCGGACATCTCCTCAGGCCAAAAGCATTGCCCTCGGCTGCTCGGCTCCTTCCGCTCAAAACCGACCAACTGATCCCATCGGCCGTGCGACGAGCCGAAGAGAGCCTCGTGATGAACATGCAAAAGAGGGCCCACTAGCAAATCATTGTGATTTTTTGACGGTGACCTTGTGATTTATTGTTTTTTACCCGTGTATCTCTCCAGTCAAATAACTTATTATTACCCATTTATAGGCCATCATTTGTTTTGTGTCTACGATTTTTGGTATGAGCCCATGTCATGTTTTTTGGCTAATAAATTACCTGATGAAGCATTTTTAATCGTGATTTTCTTTATTGGATTTAAATTTTTCAGGTGAGCCAAAAAAGCGTTCGGAATTTCTGGATTTTGAAGCCATTTCGGGGGCAGCAACCGCGCTGCTTTGTGCCCTGTGGCTTCATGTTGCTAGGGGCTGAATGCATCCAGGAGAAAATGAAGTCACCTAACGATACTAAAGCAACTTTGCTAAATTACTAAAATATTGCTGAATTCAACGCGTATTCAATTCAATTCTATTGGTTTTTGATGGCTGCACAGTAAGCAAAGATTCTGTTTAATTTTCGTTATAGAGTTGTATCGAAAAAACGTCAAATAGCTACGGCCTGCCTTGGGCTTTCGATTTTTGGGCTCTATTCATTCTCAGCGGGTTGGAATCGAGAGGAAGGGGGGCAAGAAGTTGTAGGCAACTTTACGAGCTTTTATCGATGCTCTGGAAATTTCAGATGAGCCTGACAATCGAAGGATCAACCGGAAAACCGTTCAACGAATCGTTAATCTCTTATCTTCAGCATTTCGGGCTCGACAACAAGCAGATCAAGGCGACGACGGCGAGAAGGATTCAGTGGGTTTAACAAGTGGAAGGGTTTTTATATAACTTACAGGGTGGGCCAGAAAAAAAGCCCCTAGTTTGCAGTGAAATATCTCACGAACGGAAATGAATCGGACCATGGTTACCTTGCCAAAATGCTTAAATATGCTGGGTATGAAGAATAAACACAAGCTGTTTTTTATGATTTTTGACGACCCCCTACTCGTTAAGAATTTTTGAATATTTTTGAAAAAGTAGAAAACTTTAAAGAGGAAATTAATGGAACTTTTAATGCGCTAGGGGCTCATGTAGGGTATCAAAATGAAGCTCTTGGAATGCGCTATCAAACCACTGGTAAAGATTGTCATTCGGATTAACTAGCCGTCAATAGGAGCATTCAGAAGATCCGGCCTTTCCAGAAGGGACGATTTCGAGTTAACCATAGAAAGCACATAGCCGCCGTCACGTTTTGTATTTGTTAGATGTAATCCTGTTTGCCAAAGATAACCATATTATAAATTTAACTATAGGAGCGTAGAACTCACAAATTCCGCCGACTTGGCAAAGTGCCAAAAATTTTTTTGATCGGGATTTTGAAAATCTTCATGCCAAAAGTTAGTAATTAACTATCTATTGGTAAATGCAAGATATCAGAAAAATCGGGTGGTAAAGAAATTATATCTGGAATTATTTCTGCAAAAAGTGCCGATTTTCCGAACGTTCCTTTTTACAGCTAGTTAAACCGCTCTATATTCTTTACCAGTGGTTTGATAGCGCATTCCAAGAGCTTCATTTTGATACCCTACATGAGCCCCTAGCGCATTAAAAGTTCCATTAATTTCCTCTTTAAAGTTTTCTACTTTTTCAAACATGTTCAAAAATTCTTAACGAGTAGGGGGTCGTCAAAAATCATAAAAAACAACTTGTGTTTATTCTTCATACCCAGCATATTTAAGCATTCTGGCAAGGTAACCATGGTCCGATTCATTTCCGTTCGTGAGATATTTCACTGCAAACTAGGGGCTTTTTTTCTGGCCCACCCTGTATGTGGTACTGGACTGTTAGCAAGGGGGAAACTAATTTTTCTCAGTAATCCTGTACGGTCCTATAACAATGGAAACCATTTTTATCGCTTTTTACAAGGTTTTAGAAAGATTGAACTTTTCAAAAGGTTTAAAATATTTTTGTAACGTTCTAGCAAGCAATAATTATAAAAATACGCTGTTTATTATTAACAGGTAAGCATAAAACAAACATCAGTTTTGCCTTGCTAACAGCCCAGTACCACTTCTGATTCAGATTCTCGAAAGTCGTCTTCGCCATGTACAGCTCGAGCAACCATTTTGGCGAGAGCCGCTACACGCTTCACGAATTCCGGAAGCGCTTCAACAACACGATCATCTACTATGATCTGGGGCTCCATGTTGCACAGGTTTTTCGTTTTAGAGAAACTAGGATTCTGGTGCACCATCGGGGGGTGGGATAATTTTTCCTACGTCCCAAACCGCAAATAATGTAGTAAAAACAATTTACCGAGCCTGTTTACGCCCTTTCTCGGGATAATTGTTTCGTTTAGTGGCATATGAATTTAGAGACGTGAGGTGAGCGGCGTGTGCAACCTGTTCATCCGCCACCTGAACTTCTCCCACTACCCGGCCCATGTGAAACGGTTGCACAGCTACGCCTTCAAGGTGGTCATTGCCGCGGTGGGTTTTGAGCTCGAAACTAAAATTTAGGTTGTTTTTTTAGGAAATGTTGAGAGACTTTGACGCATTTTGGATGGTGGATACGTCAGTGCATTTTGATGATCAAAAATGTTTGGAGCGACTGTACAACGAGTTGAATGAAGGCCAGGTATCTGCGTTTGATCTAAAAAAATTGTATTTTAGGCTCCAGACTTTTTGATGGGCCAAAAAGTGGGAAAACAATTGAATTACACGCATAAAGGTGGTTGTTTTTGAAGAGCTTTGACCTTTTTTCAGGGATGTTCGAATACCTTCCATTTCCTGGAAAATACCACGATGATGTGCAGCGGGAAGCTGTCCTATTTCTGCGAAGGAGTCCGGTTAGTAAGACGGCGATGAAATGGTGAGTTTTTGCGTTAGTTTGGGGGTTTTTGCGTTTTCGGGGACCCAAAATGACCAAATTTTCGACTTTTTCAAACATTTTTCTAAATTTTTCTGAAAGTGATTCTGCTTTAAATATAGTTAAAACTTACTAAAACAATTCGAAAACACTTTATATTTGATTACTAGGTCAACCGGGACCACCAGGAAAAAAAAATTGGTCCCCCCCCCCGGGAATCCTAAAGAATCTTTTTGACTACTAAAACACTCGTCTTTTCTTTTTTTTTGGATAAAATAACTGATTTTTAGTACGATGAGGGCATCTTCAAGCAACTCCTTGACGGAGAAATTGATGAGCACCTTGCCAAGCATATTGCCCATATGTTCATCCGAGATCCGCTACAGGCAATTTGAAATTATTTTTTTACAAATATTCCTTTTTTAAGTTCCATTCTATGACCTTTAGCTAATTTTATAGGTATTCCGTGAGCGCATCGAGCAGGATGACACGAAGAGTTCCGAGCACTTCGAGACGATCCAGAGCAGCAACTGGATGAATATGCGCTTCAAGGTAGACTTGATCAATTTTCTTGCATCCCCTATTTAGCCCCCCACCACCTGATGCCCCGGAAATTGGCTGGCGCGTCGAGTTTCGACCCACTGAGGTAAAATATTATTTATGTGTAAATTTCATTTTATTCAGGTCCAACTCACCGACTTTGAAAATGCGGCTTATTGCTGCTTCGTCGTGCTGCTGACTCGGTATAAATATCGGCATTCTTTGGAAGTATTTTTATTGCTAGGGTAATCCTCTCGTATCGCTCGACCTATCTGCTGCCAATTTCGATGGTCAATGAGAATATGAAGCGCGCTCAGAAGCGGGACGCTGTTTTGGAGCAGAAATTCTTCTTTAGAAAGGTATCAACCAAATAAATGGCATTAAAATCTGGTGTAGGGAGTAGCCACTTGCCGTCACCCCCCAGATGAGGCCGGAGGAGGCGATTCGGCCGCCTGCACGGTCGGCAATGCAAAGAGCGAGGATATTGAAGAAATGACGATCAACGAGATTGTCAACGGTGAGATTTCGGGGGGTTTTGGTTCTTTGGCAATATCGTGGGCGGGCTAATTTTTCTAAACAAAATTGCGGATGAAGCGTAAAAATTTTACAAATTTTAATAGAAAAGACAAAAAAAACACCGATTATTCGAACAAAATGTCGAATTTTTAAGGATTTTGGGAGTTTTTAGATGATTTTCGCCTTGAAATATTGATTCATTGGATCAAAAACATGCTAATAATTTCTATTGAATTATTATGAATTTCTGGGCTCATTTTCGCTCTCCGAAATTGTAAAACCACCTTTTTCCAGGGCGTGAAAAAGAGTGGCCCGGCCTGGTGCCCATGTTGAAGCAGTTCCTCGACTCGGCCGATGTTGATGTTGACACGCGGTGCACTATTTCGCAATATCTGAACTTCATCTCGGTAATTTGCCAATTTTTTCCACATCGAATTTCCTTTTCAGCAACGCGCCTCTGGGCAAATCCCCACACTGGCCAACTGGACTCGCGAATTCGTCCAGAACCACACTGCCTACAAAAAGGACAGCCGCGTGCCCGATGAGACGATCTACGATTTGCTGTCCTTGGTATGTTAAAAATGAGAAAACATATTTAAGTTGAAAATTTTGGTTCTTTCGCGTTGACGGGATTTTTCCTAAGGATCCAATTTTTCAATAAATAGATCAATAAACCGGAAATTTTTCTAAACTGTTTTTTTTTACTATGGCTAAGCGCAACAAATTGTCAGTTACAAAATACAAAAATGTTAGGCCAGCCAAGAATTCCGATTTTTGCTAAAAATGTCGACGCTTTAATATTTTTAACAAGTTTTCCGATGGTTTTTACTAGTTTTATATAGCTGTTTTACTAAAAATATTACAAAAATACTCCCTATTAAGTTAATAGGTATTTTTAGACTTATACTTAAAAGTAAAATGCATTAATACGAAAATATTTTTTTAGATGTCGGACATCTCCTCAGGCCAAAAGCATTGCCCTCGGCTGCTCGGCTCCTTCCGCTCAAAAACCGACCAACTGATCCCATCGGCCGTGCGACGAGCCGAAGAGAGCCTCGTGATGAACATGCAAAAGAGGGCCCACTAGCAAATCATTGTGATTTTTTGACGGTGACCTTGTGATTTATTGTTTTTTACCCGTGTATCTCTCCAGTCAAATAACTTATTATTACCCATTTATAGGCCATCATTTGTTTTGTGTCTACGATTTTTGGTATGAGCCCATGTCATGTTTTTTGGCTAATAAATTACCTGATGAAGCATTTTTAATCGTGATTTTCTTTATTGGATTTAAATTTTTCAGGTGAGCCAAAAAAGCGTTCGGAATTTCTGGATTTTGAAGCCATTTCGGGGCAGCAACCGCGCTGCTTTGTGCCCTGTGGCTTCATGTTGCTAGGGGCTGAATGCATCCAGGAGAAAATGAAGTCACCTAACGATACTAAAGCAACTTTGCTAAATTACTAAAATATTGCTGAATTCAACGCGTATTCAATTCAATTCTATTGGTTTTTGATGGCTGCACAGTAAGCAAAGATTCTGTTTAATTTTCGTTATAGAGTTGTATCGAAAAAACGTCAAATAGCTACGGCCTGCCTTGGGCTTTCGATTTTTGGGCTCTATTCATTCTCAGCGGGTTGGAATCGAGAGGAAGGGGGCAAGAAGTTGTAGGCAACTTTACGAGCTTTTATCGATGCTCTGGAAATTTCAGATGAGCCTGACAATCGAAGGATCAACCGGAAAACCGTTCAACGAATCGTTAATCTCTTATCTTCAGCATTTCGGGCTCGACAACAAGCAGATCAAGGCGACGACGGCGAGAAGGATTCAGTGGGTTTAACAAGTGGAAGGGTTTTTATATAACTTACAGGGTGGGCCAGAAAAAAAGCCCCTAGTTTGCAGTGAAATATCTCACGAACGGAAATGAATCGGACCATGGTTACCTTGCCAAAATGCTTAAATATGCTGGGTATGAAGAATAAACACAAGCTGTTTTTTATGATTTTTGACGACCCCCTACTCGTTAAGAATTTTTGAATATTTTTGAAAAAGTAGAAAACTTTAAAGAGGAAATTAATGGAACTTTTAATGCGCTAGGGGCTCATGTAGGGTATCAAAATGAAGCTCTTGGAATGCGCTATCAAACCACTGGTAAAGATTGTCATTCGGATTAACTAGCCGTCAATAGGAGCATTCAGAAGATCCGGCCTTTCCAGAAGGGACGATTTCGAGTTAACCATAGAAAGCACATAGCCGCCGTCACGTTTTGTATTTGTTAGATGTAATCCTGTTTGCCAAAGATAACCATATTATAAATTTAACTATAGGAGCGTAGAACTCACAAATTCCGCCGACTTGGCAAAGTGCCAAAAATTTTTTTGATCGGGATTTTGAAAATCTTCATGCCAAAAGTTAGTAATTAACTATCTATTGGTAAATGCAAGATATCAGAAAAATCGGGTGGTAAAGAAATTATATCTGGAATTATTTCTGCAAAAAGTGCCGATTTTCCGAACGTTCCTTTTTACAGCTAGTTAAACCGCTCTATATTCTTTACCAGTGGTTTGATAGCGCATTCCAAGAGCTTCATTTTGATACCCTACATGAGCCCCCTAGCGCATTAAAAGTTCCATTAATTTCCTCTTTAAAGTTTTCTACTTTTTCAAACATGTTCAAAAATTCTTAACGAGTAGGGGGTCGTCAAAAATCATAAAAAACAACTTGTGTTTATTCTTCATACCCAGCATATTTAAGCATTCTGGCAAGGTAACCATGGTCCGATTCATTTCCGTTCGTGAGATATTTCACTGCAAACTAGGGGCTTTTTTTCTGGCCCACCCTGTATGTGGTACTGGACTGTTAGCAAGGGGGAAACTAATTTTTCTCAGTAATCCTGTACGGTCCTATAACAATGGAAACCATTTTTATCGCTTTTTACAAGGTTTTAGAAAGATTGAACTTTTCAAAAGGTTTAAAATATTTTTGTAACGTTCTAGCAAGCAATAATTATAAAAATACGCTGTTTATTATTAACAGGTAAGCATAAAACAAACATCAGTTTTGCCTTGCTAACAGCCCAGTACCACTTCTGATTCAGATTCTCGAAAGTCGTCTTCGCCATGTACAGCTCGAGCAACCATTTTGGCGAGAGCCGCTACACGCTTCACGAATTCCGGAAGCGCTTCAACAACACGATCATCTACTATGATCTGGGGCTCCATGTTGCACAGGTTTTTCGTTTTAGAGAAACTAGGATTCTGGTGCACCATCGGGGGGTGGGATAATTTTTCCTACGTCCCAAACCGCAAATAATGTAGTAAAAACAATTTACCGAGCCTGTTTACGCCCTTTCTCGGGATAATTGTTTCGTTTAGTGGCATATGAATTTAGAGACGTGAGGTGAGCGGCGTGTGCAACCTGTTCATCCGCCACCTGAACTTCTCCCACTACCCGGCCCATGTGAAACGGTTGCACAGCTACGCCTTCAAGGTGGTCATTGCCGCGGTGGGTTTTGAGCTCGAAACTAAAATTTAGGTTGTTTTTTTAGGAAATGTTGAGAGACTTTGACGCATTTTGGATGGTGGATACGTCAGTGCATTTTGATGATCAAAAATGTTTGGAGCGACTGTACAACGAGTTGAATGAAGGCCAGGTATCTGCGTTTGATCTAAAAAAATTGTATTTTAGGCTCCAGACTTTTTGATGGGCCAAAAAGTGGGAAAACAATTGAATTACACGCATAAAGGTGGTTGTTTTTGAAGAGCTTTGACCTTTTTTCAGGGATGTTCGAATACCTTCCATTTCCTGGAAAATACCACGATGATGTGCAGCGGGAAGCTGTCCTATTTCTGCGAAGGAGTCCGGTTAGTAAGACGGCGATGAAATGGTGAGTTTTTGCGTTAGTTTGGGGGTTTTTGCGTTTTCGGGGGAGGCCAACTTTTCCGCGGAACCGATTTTTCTAGGGGACGTTTTTCGAAACTGTTTTTGCTATTTTTAACCGTAGAGAACTCTCAAATTTTCAGCACGCATAGAAAAAAGTAGAATTTTTCGAACTCTTTCGAGAATTGAAAAATTTCGACGAAAAACGACCGATTTCCGCTCGCGTTTCCGAATATGATGGTTAAATTTTACCGTAAGCACTGGTAAAAAGCGCTATTTCTTTACTAGACATCCCCCGATACCCCCCCTCGATAAAGCGAAAGCACCTGATTCTATTGATCTAAATTCAGGCTGCTACTTTGTGCATTGACAAAGGAATGCATTGCACCGCCGGGGTCCACCGTTGTTTGTATGAAAAAGGGGGTTTCTGGATGTCATCGGTAAGTTATTATTTGGTTTTTCGTCTATTTCTTCTTTATCGCGAGGCCTAATTTTATAAGTCAAGAATAGACACGTAATAGCAAATATTTTAATAGTCTTTGTAATAATCTTGAACTATATTTCAAAATTTGCTGAAAGAATCGGCGATTTATGTCGAAAATCGGCATTTTTTATGAGAAATTGTAAAGTTCCAAGCTTAAAAATAGTAATAGTATAGTACCACTAACTTTGTTTATATTAGAAAAATTTAAATCGAAATAATCTTACAGGAAACATTGCTGCCCCCCCCCCCCCGATAACGCCAAAGCACCTGAACTCATTTAGATACGACCAAAGCGCGAGTAATTTAATACGAGCTATGCTGCTACGGCCAAATCCCCGGCATTTCAACTACCTGCACAGATGTGCAAAAGTGGAGCGAGGACTCTGGCGGAAAGAGCCATTAGCCAAGGGTTTATGCTAATAAATTAGAATTTGAATATTGAATATATTTGCATTAAAACAGAAGATATCCTATTTTTAATTAGTTGAATTTTTCATTGTTTCACACGAAAAATGGTGGCCGCTCGGACGTCGTGGGGTACCCTACAGCGGCTGTTGCTGATCATCCTTGTTAGTTTTTTTCAGGTCACCCTGGGTACTAGGCCGTTAGCGGGGGGGGGTAGCGGAGAATTAAGATATCTTTACTACAAACCCTAAATTTTTCTGATTTTCGTTAATTTATATGCATTTTTGACAAAAAAGTCGAAAAATTTCGACATTGTGGATTTTTTGATGAGTTTTTATATTTAAAACCTGTCTAAATGCCATAAAAAGGGTTAAATTTCATTATAGAAAATTCGTCACAGAATTACTTGTAAAAATTGGACCTTTCCCCCCGCTAACAGTCCAGTACCATCATTCCACAGGTGCTCGAATTCGCGGCGGCCGTCGTGCTGCTCAACCATGGCGAGCTGTTCGGCGGCAATCAACCGTCAGCCCTGGGCGCGTTCATCTCGTTGGGCGTCTCCTGGATTCTCGTGTTCCTCGTCTACCTCGTCATGCACTGCGAGGGCCAACGGGCCAAGATACAATCACTTGTCGTAAGGAGGAGATTGGCTTTTCCTGAATGTATTTTAGTTTGTTATTCTGCTCGTTTTCGGGGGCCTGGCCTCGCTGTCGGCGCTGATCTGCAACATTGTGCTGGTGATCAACGACAGCAGCGCCGGCAAGAACTACAAGGTGTCCGTCATTGGCCTGGTGGGTTTAATGTTGATGTCGCTATATCTTTGTGCTTAGGAATTCAACGGGATGGCGTTGCTGATCAACGTCGTCAACATTCTGCAGTATATGATGTGCTACCCGGCTGGCGATCATCAGGTTTGTTATCCTAAGAATTTCCCGGGTTAATAAAGTTCACAAAAAGCTTAGAAAGCCCCCAACAGCGATTTTTCGGCGCGAATTAAGTGATGGTTCTTTTGCATTATCGGGGGGGGGGGAAAGATTTATCGCCAAAATAATATTCTCAAAAGCTTTACAATTCTTTATTGAGAAAAAAACACAAAAATTCTCGATGTTTCGTTAAAGATGGCCGATTTTCGATCATAATTTCGAAGTTTTTAAGTTTCATAAATGTTTTTTGCACTTGAAATCTAGCTAGATTCATGAATATAACTTTTGAAGTACTTACTATTGCGTCACTAGGTATTTCTGGAATTATACAAAGAATCAGGTCCCCCGATAATGCAAAAGCACCGAATTTTTGCCCTTTTGAAGCAAGCTAAAAAGGGATGGGGCCTCCTGGGGAATAGCTGCCCCCTCAAACATTATCCCCAGGAGTTATCCCATCCCTTTAGGTGTACTCGCAAAGGCGCAAATCAAAGCAGGGGAAACGATCGAGGGGCGGAAGTGACCTTGAATCTCAGGTGCTCGAGAGTGTCGAAGAAGCCGGAGGCAAAAGCGCCAAACGATCCGTCCGCGGCACGCCGAAAACACCGAAAACGGTTGGTCAATCGATTCCCAAGGAATATCTGCTTATTGGGTACTTGGCTGTTAGCGGGGGTGGGAGGTAGTTTTCAAGCTGAAAAATTCCTCGAAAAATTTGTCAAATTCTCCAAATATTTATTGTTGCTCAAAAAGTTATAATTTTTAGTGCTAAGTTTTTTTATGACCCTTTAGTCGCCAGAAACGCTATGAAACGCAAAAAAAAACGTTGCATAGGCTTGGTAGGTTTTCCACCCCGCTAATGGCCAAGTACCGACTACGATATCAATTTAGGAAAATTCTAAAAAATAAATAAATTGAAGAAACTGTAAATTTTAGCCGGGCGACGGGTCGGTTCGCTCCGGGAAAACGCCGAAAACGCCGAAAAGCCCGATGACGGTACGAATTTTTTACCGACTCTCGCTCTCTCTAACCCCATCCTTTCAGAAAAGCGGCTCCCGCAAAGGCTCCAAAATCAGCTCGGTGCGCTCAAACAAGTCCAACAAGTCCAACAAGTCAAAGAACTCGAAAAAGTCGAAGAAATCGAAGAAGTGAGCGCGGCGTCCGCATCACTCCACTGCACTCCATCCGTACGGTGTATCGCCTCGTCTTCCCCCATTTCTTTCTCTTTTTTCTCTGCTCTCGATGATACTGCTTCTCGTTTTGCACTCGTTCTCCGTTGGGCAGTGGCTAATAAATGGTTTTGAAATACAGTACGTTTGATACCTACGAACGTGTAGTTTTTAGCTTTGGTTGTAACGTGGAATGCCTCGGAATATGGGCGAACGATGCGAAAGATTTATCAAAAAAAAAGATTGCACAGGGTTGCGGGGCGGAAGGGCGGCTCGATTAGGAGGGACCTGTATCCAACGGGGCGAGTCATGGGTTTTTTTGGTACTGGACTGTTAGCGGGGGGGGGGTAATTTTTAATTTTCCGCATACCTATTGACAACATATGTATTTTTATAGTCGTTTTTAGTGGTTTTTGACTGCTAGGCGGCTATAAAAATATTTTTAAAATTCAAAAAAAATCGAAATTTTCACTTTTTTGATCATTTTTCATACATTTTTGACCAAAAAGTCAAAGTTTTTCCTTTTTCAGCTCAAAAGCTCAAAAACAAATGCCATAAAAATGGTTGCTATTTCGCTATTTGGCAATAAGGAATTACTGAAAAAGTTTTGCCCCCCCCCCCCCCCCCCCGCTAACAGCATAGTACCAAGAAAAGAGGGTACGGTAAATAGAGCGTTTTTAGACATACCTTACCGTACCCCTAAAGAGGCAAAAAATAAACCTAAAGCAATCCGGGGCGTGAAAATAACTGGAGGCGACACTGGGATACGGTAGAAGACCGGATATGTGTGTGTTTTTGGGGAATGGACGGGACAGTACTATGGACAGCAGGGCGGAATGGCACAGAAATGGGGGAATAGCTGGAAAATCAGACGACAGGCGGGGGCTTTGGCTGGGCGGGAGGGTCGAGAGGGACACCGGGCGGCCGGAGGATACCTGCAATTTGTAGCGTATTGTAGTGTGGATAGGAGCGCAGCGTTGGGTAAAATTCGTACTAGAAAAAGTTCACTTACCGAGGGGGAATTGCGTCAACAGCATTTGGGATAGCATTCCGGGATTGAGGAGCGGGCGCTGCGGGTTCGGTTTGTTTAGCCAATCTGAAAGGGGCGGCTAGCAGGGATTTTTGGGGAATTTTTTGGAGTAAAACACTGTTTTTGTATATTGGGCTTTCATTTATTATTATTTCCTGTTGTTTTGATTGGCTCCTTATTATATTTAGTCATTCTATTTGTATACCACTTTATCTGTATTTTATTTTGGTTCTTTGGCAATATCGGGTGAGGGGATTATTCAGGGTTGAACTAGCTTTTTTCTTTACTATCCAATCATTCTAATTAGAAATGTTCTGCTATCTAAATATTATCAATGAAAGTTCATAAATCTTGTTTAAAAAACTACAAAAATATCGATCTTTTAAAATTGTTCATAGATTTTTAAAAATGATATTCAAGTTTCTTGCCGTTTTTCAACTTTCAATTTCTAGTGAAATTTTTGAAAAACGTGATTAAAATACTACTTTTACTAATTACATTTATGTTACTAGGAATTCCCGTAAAAAACCTGCAAAAATTCAAAAACTTTTATAAAAAAATGGGAACGCCCCCTGATAAACCCCCCCGATAACGCCAAAGTACCGAAATTACTAAAAGGCAAATTTAAAAAGAAAACCCACATTGCCCAAGTAGTGCCTGTTGTAAAAGGGCCGGATTGTAGAGGGAGGGCAACAGAAATGGCGGCAGCTCACATTTCGATTCACTAAACGGATAGCTGCTTCCCTTAAAAAATTGCAGAAATCAATACCCATCATAGTCGGGGGATCGGCCACTCGGATCGCGGAATCCCTTCGCAAATGGGTTCTTCTCGATCTTCAATTTTGTGATCTAAAAATGATAAAAAGTTAAGGTACGCAAAATTACTAAGCAAAGACGACGTAGGAAAATCTGATACCAATATTTTTATACGATTTGAAAGCCCAGAAAATGAGGTTTTCTTACTTGACCATTATTTTTTACCTAATAGTTTATTTTTAGGGCGGATCTTGTAACGATACAGCTGGGGTCTCCTTGGCTTTTCACCTACCAACTTCACGCTGCCATTGTTTTGATAAAACCGACCAATTTGCGTTTCCATTTGGGTTTTAACGACTTCCGTTGATAAAAACCAAATAGAAAAGAGGTTGAATAGGTCTTGAAGTTCACAAATGAATGAAAAAATCAACCACCAAAAAAAGCATAAAGTTTGGTGTAAATCCGCTATTCTTCGGCTAAGAATGGTAGAAAAATTATCCCGATCCGATCTTCCTGACGTAGTTTCCACTCAGAACTAGCGCGTAAACAGGATCGTAGCGTACCAATTGATTCTGATACGCCGTCACGGCCATGAATTGCGTATCCGGGAAGGCAAAAGTTCGATGGGGCTCGGCTTGGAGCATAGCCGCCGTGGCCGTGGCGGTTGCGTGGCTTGCCGA